AAAGCCAGTTTAGTTCAGCAGCAAAACTAGGCCATGTACATGCAGGGCTTTAGCTCTTACAGTGACATGATCTAGATCAGTGTTTTTCAATCTGGGCAACTTTAAGATGCGTGGACTTCAACATGCTGGCTGGATAATTCTGGGAGTTGAAGTCCAAGTTTGAAAAACACTGGAGCTAAACATGTTAATATTGATTCACTTTGGGAGAGAACAGCATGTTCTGTTAATCAAGGAGATCCTCTGATTCAGAGCTTCCCCAGAGAAGCTATGTCCCGGCCTACCTGAGCTGGGATTCCTCCAAGGCCCGTCTTCGCATTCCCACCACTGGCTGTCCCTGTGGTCCATTGAATATCCGCATAGTTGAACATGACAAAGGATAGTTCTCCATCAGTGGTCAAAACAACCTGGAAAGTGTTGACCTGCAACAAGAGCAAAAGAGAGACAGTAGCTCTTTACTTATATATGGGGCAATGAGTCTGCACTACATTGACAATTATGGGATGTGTTCAGGAGATTGTACACAAACGTCTCTTTTCCCAAGTAGTCTCAGTAAGAGAATCTCTTGGGCTTAATTTAAGAGATGGATCCTCAGCAATTTGGTTCTGGAGGCTCTTTGATAATTTTACCACTCTGTTATAAAAAAATTAAAATTGCACCTCTAAGGATATAGAGGGTTTCATTTTTTTGTTGCCAGTGAGAGGAGGAGACTTCCTCAGACCAGTTTCTATTTCACCTGGAATCCATTTGAGCTCTCTTTCCCACCCTAACAAATCAGGAGAGCCCAGACAGCTTTCCAAGTCAAACTAAGAGTCTCAGTAAAGTGAACATCTTTATCCTCCCAGCTATATGCTTAGATAAATCATCCCTTCTCTTCTCTTTCTCCTTCTTCCCTGTGACACATGGAGAACTGGTTCCAAAGTAACCAGGAGAACATTTAAAAAGAACAGGGTACAAGGCAGTGTCTGGATTTTGGCACAACACTTGGTTATTGAATTAATCCATTTCAAGGTTTTGAATGAATTCATTCAAGGTTTTGAATGAATCCATTTCAAGGTAATCAAATGATCGATTAGGTGCCATCAAGTTGTCAACTCTGAGCAGCTACATAGGTAGATTTTCTCCATGACAATCTGTCCCTAACCTGGTCTTTCAGGTTTGCACACTACATTGAATGATAAATGAACTAAAAAGCCTTGGTTCTCCCAACATATTAAGTCACAAAAACCTAACTAACCATGGTTATAATTAACCAAGTTTAACATGCTGTGCAAATGCAGCTAAATCTTCCACTAGCTTGTTTAAACATGCCAAGGCAATAAGAGATCTACCTTCTTTGTTTTTGACCCATAATAGGCCACATTGTCCCAAGTTGCAATAAAGGCCCAGGCAGCTGTGAAAGAGATCTCAGGAAAGAACTGATTGATGTCTTCAGTACAACGTTTAAGGAGGTTAAAGTCCCAAGTCTGCCTCCAGAAGACTTCTCCCTTTATAGGAGTGTAGACATCACCCCAAAATGGGGCAATAAGGGGTGGTCCATCCTTCAAGGGTAAAGGATCAGGAGTAAATGCAAATTCTGGAAGTGTCATACCAAAGGAGATCACACCATTGTTGTCTACCTGCAGGAAGGAAGGAGAGAGGACAACATGATTTGGTCATGTGATCATTTAGTATCTTTTGGGGATTGTGTATTAATTTATGTTAGTAGATTTATGGGAAAATCTTTAAATGTTAAAGATGTTAATGTAATGTTGAATTATATACCAAAGCTTTGAAATTTGACTGTTTATCAGGAATTGTGGTTGTATCGACCATGGGGGGTGGCAAAAAGAATTATATTAAGAAATTGGAAAAGGGATATTATTCCACATGTCAAGGAATGGTTGTTGGAAATGTATGATCTACCTGTTTTAGAAAAGGCAATATTTTCTACCAATCAAAGGATGTAGCAATATGTGTTATTATGGCACAGGTTTTGTGATATCTTACAATAATATAATGTACTGTTTATATTATAGTAGTGAATTCATTGGTAAACCAGTGACTATTGATAAGTATAAAATATAAGATAGATTTTTTTCCTTCTTAGTTTGTATCTTCAATTTGAATCCTTATTTTTTATTCTTTGTAAGATTAAAGATTGTTTTGTTACAAAAAAATAAAGATTTTTTTTTTTAAAAGGAAGGAAGGATGGAGAGAGAAAAAGAGGGGGTCACAAATAGAAGATAAATGTCAGAAAATAAAAGATAGGTGAATTTATCAGCGTTCTGAATCAATTGTTAGCGCTGTGTCTCTGAAAAAGCAGACTGAATCCAATACTTAAGAATTTGGCAGTCTTTCTTGATGTAGAAAGAAAATTTGAATTAAATCCAAAACACCAGAACAAGAATTCCAGAGAAGATCTGAAGAGACTGTAAGTTCTATTTTCTATTATATCTTATAACGGAAAAGTCAATACATTGATTGGAATTTCCTTTTTTTAAAAAAAGTATGACCCTATATGGTCTGACCTGCCTGGTGCATATATATTGCATGGTTAAATGACTGCCAAATAATCACATGGACTGTATTTAATTTATTTTAAAATGTATGTGCATTTCAGTGAGATCAAATGTGAGTTTTGTCCTGGCCCTGTCCACTTTTTTTGTTCTGGCATTGTCTATTTTGGGGAGTTCAGTTTTTAGCATGCTACTTAGAAACCTAGGGTGTCCCTTAGTCCAAAATAGGTTGCAGTTCCTGGAGAAAAAGGCAAAATATAAAGGCAGGCTGAGATCTCTGGATCTCAAAGTGCCTCTTTGGAAAACAAATGTAGCAATGGGTTTCATTACATACGTAGAGATAGTGATAATCCTTGCCATAGAAGGGAAAAGATACATCAGTAGAGATTTTTGGAGATGAGCCATCATCTGCCTTGGGGTTCTTTGCATCTCCTTGGTCCGTCCCATAAGGATACAGCAATGATTCTACAATGGGAGAAAACATTTCATTTTGTCCATGGTGGCAAACAATTTTAAAACAGGTTTTAATGTGTTGGAGCAAGTTCAACCTCCTCTACAGAGGAAGGAGAATATATTGGGAGATGAAAAAGGACATCTTTCTAGATAGGAAAGTAAACTGGAGTCACCTCCCTTGTTAAAAAAAAATTTCTATGGAGTCTTTCTTTTTGTTTCTTTCAGATTTTGGATCATTGTGAGTTGACTTGAAGGCAAAATTCAATTTATCTAACACGAACCCTTTTGGTCTTTCTAGGGAACAATGGTTCCTTTCCAATCACAACTTTTTGAAAATTTAGTTTCTATCTTGCACTTGGAATGCTCAAGGTAGTTAGCAGAATACAATCAATAAAAGAATTCAGAAATTTAAAAAAAGAAAGAAACAAAACCATAGGAAACTAACCATTCTGGTTTCACTTTGGATTTCTTTGTATTTTCTGAGTTAGATCCTTGTTCCTTACAATTCATAACTCCAGGTTTTTGAGTAGGAGTTTTGCCAGCTCTCTTTGGAGATGCTGGAAATTAAACGTAGGACTTTCTGCTATTATATTCCTTGATGATTACATTGCTTTTGTATCTTCCCAGCTTATAGGACTTCCATGATCTGAGAGCTAAGACCTAAACTTAAAACACTAAGACAGATTCTACAATATTTTCTGCAGTTTCATGGAAGAATCTTCTAAACTCTAACATCAGCAACAGCCAGGATAGAGCTAAGGGATCTCATATTCCTTCCAATTTCTTAAGGCCTTCGTAAACTGTTAGCAGGTACTACAATGTTAGGTCTCTTGCTGAGAAATAACTAGCTTGCAAACTGTTCCAGGGCACTCTCCAAGCTACTGATAATGCTCTGTCCTGCAACAATTCAGAGCTGTCCTGCATTTCTTCCATTCTCTGTGGCTCTGTTCACCTATGTTTCACCTGACCACTGAATTAACAAATTATCTAAGATTGTACAATACCAATCCAACTGGCCTGGATTTGTACAGCATGTTAAGTCACACACTGTTAAAATAATTAACCAAATTAATAGCATTTTAGGAGAATACAGCTGCTTGGTTTGTAACTGAACTGGTTAAGCATGTTATGTGCATATACTGTAACTTTTGAATAAACATTCCATATGCTCTGGTTCTTCACCGAGATCCAAAAATCTGAATTCGAAATATATCAACGAACCCTGGCCTTTCTATAAGAGTTCACTAGCCTAAACTCACATCTCAAATCAATCAAACCTTACCTTTTGTTTTTTTGACAGGTGTAGTCAGTGGCAATTCTAAAAAGCAGAAATACAGAGGTTGAATCAGGTCTGGACCATATATAAATGCCCATACTGCAGTGTTTCTCAACCTTGGCAACTTTAAGATGAGTGAACTTCAACTCCCAGAATTCCCCACGTTGATGAAGCCAACAGATCTCGTGAATGTCTTTCTGCATAATGTTAGCTGTTGCAGAATGCAGAGTGAATGAAGGACAGAAAAAAGGGACCATCTTTTGCAGAAGTAAACATTTTGGAAGAACTCATAATACAGGACACCATTAATGGTTACTACTATACTAGAATGGGATACACACACAGCTGGGCATCTTTAGGAGTCTGACATTTTTCTTAGGTCTGGCATTCCTAAGATAAAATCTAACACTTCTCACGTGTGTGATGTAACTTTCTGAGTCTTCAGCCTACCTTTTCAGTTCAATGGTACTTACCTTGTGGCTTCTCGGAAGAAGAACTTGATAATCCTAAAAGGCAGGCAGAAGGAAGTTATCAGATTTGCATCTGTTTTGCATGCATACCTCTTGCAATGACCAAAGATTTTAACTGAGACCAGTTCAGGACTCCATACCACATCTTGATGCAGTGAGGGGCAACTCTCCCCCTACCACTTGGCAACATATCAAGCTGACAGGAATAAAATATCGATCAATGGTTCAGGTCTGGGTTCAGGTTCAGGTCTAAGATTTCACAAACTGAGGGCCTACATTGACTTTTAAGTACCTTGAATGTCAGGGGCCATACGTCAAAACCTAGTGGAACCAGCTGATGCAGCTAGAACAAAAACTAAATTTGATGGGGATTACATTGCATTATAGTTGAGTTAAAAGCAGTGAATATAATTATTCCTCATGTATATAAACATTTCTCCCTTTGGTCAGCTTAAACGTTACAATTATAATTTGATGACATTTTTCAAAGACATTTCATAGGCCACCTATGAGGTTTCCAAAGGTTGGATATGGACTGCCATCTCATGTTGTACCACCATCACCCAGACTAGAGGCAGGTTTCATCTTCATGGACATCTCTGAGAAGGTACCCTTCAGAAGTAGATAAAAAGGAATAGGAGAGATGGCAAAGGAGTATTCTCTAATCCAACAGCCAACCTTCTTGTACTACAACTGCTGAAGCAAGCAAGTGTTGCTCTAGCTCAGTGTTTCTCAATCTCGGCAACTTTAAGATGTGTGGACTTCAACTCTCAGAATCCCCCAGCCAGCATGTTGCCTGGGGAATTCTGGGAGTGGAGGTCCACCCATCTTAAAGTTGCCAAGGTTGAGAAACATTGCTCTAGTTCATAGCAGAGGCTGGGGAGAAATAAGTTTTTCTGTGAAAAAAGGTTTGTAAGATATTCAGATAATACTCTGCCATGGGATTCCTTTTTTCTGAACAGCTTTAAAAAAGGGATAAATCCATTATCTCAGAAAACTATCCTGGTGAAACAGCAGCTTGGCAATATTAGAAAGAGACTCCTAGAAAATTAGAAAGTAGTTGGAAGGGGAAAAAAAAAAATCTAAATGGCCACTAGATGGAGAAACAGGCAGCCACAGTAGGTGACAGAAAGGAAGGTTGAGGAAATAGGCCCAGAAGACAGGGAGGCAGGAGAAGAAGCAGTTAAGAAAAAAAATGTGGGTGGCATCTTAACTAATGAAATTAGCTCCTATCATTTGTGCTACATTCTCTTTCTCTGGGTGACAACTTTTATCTCAAAAAGAAGATGTTGGCCTTCATGTAGAAATGAAGTGTTGGAAGTATTTGTCAAACTAAATATCCTAAGGACCTTTATTCTACCCAGAGAAGGTTTGTTTGTGTGTGTGCGTGCGCATGTGCACACATGTGTGTGTCTTGATAGGAAACTGTAAAATTAAGGAATTTATACCATGAAGAACAGGGAGTTAAGGAATTCTTCAACTCTGCTGGATTTTTTTTTTTTAAGTTAAGGCCGGCAGGTAGGTAGGTAGGTTAGCATTTCTGGCAAATTAAATGAAACTCTTTAATAGAAAAGAGTTGTTTCAGGAGGTCATGAAGACTTTTTAAAATAGGCAATCCATTACTCTTCTAAAGCTTCTTATATAAAAATGAGGGTTGCATATTCGCTGCCTTGTATTATCCATATCCAGAATTTTCTATTTGAAATAAAAGTAAGAAATAGCAATGAAAGTTAGAAGAGAAGAGAACGTTGGTGATGACTGAAAGTATGTGCAGCAAAGGAATATTTAGATGGATGGAAATGACAAAATTAAAAGCTTAATTGTGAACTTCTCAACTGCTATTCTTTCACCTCCAAAAGATTTTACACTACAGATAGAATGTGAATACTTACTGCAGGAGCAAAGGGCCACAGAACCATAGCCATCCCGGTATGAGCCTCCAGCAATTAAGAGTCCAAAAGGACTTGTAGGGTGCTCTACAGAGAGGGCCTTTGCTTCTGAGCCCAAGAGAAGTTCAGCCCAAGAATAGTCTGTACCAGGAACTGGTCTCCAGTGGACGTTTTCAATGGCCCTCTTTCCTAATATGATCTGGCTTGACTCTGAAGTATTGGCTATGATGACTATGTAATTATCCTTCTGCTTCATCTCATAAACATGATATTGTCTGCAATAACTTGCCAGAGATGGAATGTTGATGAGGAATGGATCATAGATACTGCTCCCTTCTGGGGCTTCAGAAACCAGAGGAAGGAGTTGGGTGTAGGATCTGTTACCCGTAGTAGCACCGGTAAAGAAGGAAAGGACCTGGATTTTAGCATCAGCTGAAATGTAGAGTGGCTCTGAACTTGTTAGGGCAATCTGGAAAACTTCCCCAGCTACAAGATTGTGGGATTTTTCTTTGACTCCAGATTGATATGTAATCAAAGTATTCTGGGATGCAACAACATATGCCACATCAAAGTTGTTCTGATAAGACAGAGAAGGAACAATGAAGGTGGTTCCCCAGTTGGGAACTGGCAGGAGCTGCTCAACAACATGATCACAGCTTGTGAACTTCTTAGCACAGCTGTGTCCACTCAAGACAGCTACAGGTTTGGTTGATTCAATCCGGGTGCCTGATAAATCTTCTGTGCTTTGCAACTGGATTACTTGGAAGGCCTTGAGATCTATAACCAATTTGCTTCCAGCAGGGTAAACTTTCCTTTTGAAAGTCACTGGTCCTTTTAGATGGATGTTCACTTGAGTGGGATCTTGATCAGCTATAATGGCAAACTCTTTGAAAGAATGTGGGAGATCATCCACTGGTGTTACCACATAGTACAACTGGCCCAGTTGGTGGTCTGGGTAGAGGACAGTGGCACCTGTTGAGTAATCCTTGTGGCTATGACAGAGGACTGAGATTTCTTTGTTAGCTTGGATTAGCACTGTACTATCATAAATACCAGTCCCTTGCATCTCAGTGGAGGTTGGGAGCTGAACTGATACTGTATGTCCTTCACTGAGGGAAATTATTTTTTGGAAGTTAGGCTCATTTATAGTCACTGTAACTGTGGTTGCAGGACGATGTGCAGTGATAAGTAGCTCAAATTTTGCATTGGGCTGGCTTTCTCGGAGGTTGAGCAGAAATGCTGTGAGAAATTTCTTCCCACGAGTTCTCCCTTTACAACAGCCTGAAAAAATAATAAATGAAGATTTTTAAAGGGATTAAGAATTAGAAGTATGCAACTATGCACTGCAGGGATTCAATTTCAAGCTGAGTGGACTGAGTCTCAAAATGAATTTCAAAAATGAAGGTTGAATGATTCAGAATTGGGAAACTTCTGTGCACATGCAGAAACGTTTGTCCCAAATCAGTTCCAAAGTTTGAATTCAGCTGATTTCATAAATCAAGTCAGACATCTAAATCAAATAGGATTAATTTTCTGAATCAAATTGGATGTCAGAATTAGACTTCAAATTCAAGCTGGTGATCCAAGTCAGACGTTGCCTGATTCACATATCCTTACTGAGATTTATGGAATATGTGCATATCTTAATTATATACCATTAGTTTACCAAATGGACAGATTTGGAATTTGAATGCTGTTCTCATTGATTCATTTCCCCAAAGCAGACTGCATCTGCAATAATGCAGTCATGATGAAGACATTCCACTGAACCAAAGTTCAGTTTTACCCTACAAATTTATGAGGACTAGAATGGGCAAATTCAGAAGGGTCTGAGACTGGACAAATCCATTAAAATCACCACCAGTTCTCAGCCCATTAGGACAAATAACTGAAAGAAAGAGATATAAGATCTGAACCTTGGCAATGGGGCCGACAGGGGATATCAAACCAGTCAAATGGAGACTGTAGAATCATGACTGAGTCCCCACCCCTTTGTACATATGGAATGGGGCCTTGATCATAATGCCACCACCAGCATCTTCCCCATTCTGACTCCCGACTCTCTAAGATGTCAGTTGTAGAGAGCCATGGAGGTGGCCTGGAAGGGAATATTCCTATATCAGAATATTCTTATTCTGGAAGGGAATATTCCCTTACAGAAACAGAAAGGCAGAAGCATTCCTTAAGCCCTGAGAAAGGAAACCTTATGGAGTCAGTTTCCTGATCCGGCCTACCTTGTAAGGCTGACACCTTACAAATATGATATGTCTATTTTAGGGCTTTTGCTACAGTTTTCATGCATTTGCCATCTCAAAACTGCACAAAACTGTGCTGACTTTTCACAGTCATAGGTAGTCTGCAAAAAATGGACATAGGGACCTTGATCAGGCCCCAGATTGCTTATCCCCTCAGTAAATGAAAAGGAGGGGAAACTGAGGGGCTGTCTACTCCAGTTCACTCACCGCTCAACAGCATCAAAACAGTCCCGAGGAACAGGATCCATCTCTTTGCCATGCCTGTGAAAAAAGATTCTTTTTTAAAAAAGGGAAAATACGCACAGCATCGCTTCTGAAATTCTTGCCAGTGATGTCTTTACATTTTCATTTGCATACTGCTCATTCCTGAAAGCTCTGGGTAGCTGACAGTCAAAACCCTTGTTGAGCAAAACCCCCTCAAAAATAATAAATTAACCCACCCATAAAATACCCCAATACAATATCAAAATTATAACACCCACCCCCCAACAAACAGAAAATGTGCAAACACCAGCATCTACCAAATTCAAGTCTTTAGTCATAGCATACTCCACTCCTGGGCTTGAGGGAATAAATGGATCTTCTCTGCTCTCTTGAAACACAGAAGGGAAGGAGTAGCCTAGAACTGCATGGGGAGAGGGGAGAATTGCAGAACATGAAGAATGATTGAAAATGTCCACTTCTGAGGTTCTATCAGTTGGCGTTCCTGTATAGATGGGGCCTTGAGGGAGTTGCCCCTATTTGACCTGATTGAATGGACAGATGAACGCAGGAGAAAGTTGACCCTAAGATAACCTGTCCAGAGCCACGTAGGGCTTAAAGATGACTACCAATACCTCAGATTGCACCTGGAAGCCAACAGGCAACTAATGCAACTTCCAAAATAGCGGGGCAACCCATTTCTAGTGGGATATGTCCATCATGGCATCAGCTGCTGCATTTTGTACCAGTTGTAGCTTCTAATGCTTTCCAAGGGCAGCCCCATGTACACCACATTACAGCAATCCAGATGGGAGGTAATTAAAATTAAGTGACCTCCAGACCCAGGAATGGCTGCTATTGGTACACAAAATGTAACTGTATCAGAGCCCTCCTAGTCACAGGTACCACCTGTTGAATGAGCAGGACGTGTTTAATTCAGGAGAAGCCTCAAATTGTGAACCATCTCTTAATGGGGAGGGGGGTACAATTCAGTTCAAAGTCAAAGATGTTCTTTCCCTGGTTTCTGATATGGATATCCTGATATAGATAGATGGGAGTTATTAAACCTCGCCCTTTGGGGAAGGGTGAACGCTCTCAGAATGAATATTATTCCCAGATTAATTTACATTCTGAGAGGAATTCCCATTTTTATATCTGGAAAATATTTTCAGAAAATAAATTCTTTGTTTAGAAAACTTCTATGGGGCTCTTCAATTCCAAGAATATCTTTACAGAAAATGCAATTACCAATTAATGAGGGAGGATCTGGTTTTCAAAATCTGGAGCTATATCATCATGCTTATCTATTGTCAAGTATCAGATACTGGAAGCCAACAATTGGTGTTAATTTTCCGATTTGGGCAACTTTGGAATATCCATATATAGCACCTTTGGTTGGACGGACAGTATTAGGATCTAAATATATTAAATGCTAATGTCTCTGGAAACAATGTTGTCAGTTAGAAAGCTATGGAATGTAATGTCTAATGAAAAATGATTTGATCCTTTTTCCCATGCCAAACTGACTTTATGGGAAAACCCAACTTTAAAAATTGGGAAAAAGATGGTGATATGGAAAAATTG